CCCGGTATTCCTCCATCGCTTGTCTACCCTACGCAGATGGCATCTTTCGTTGGAACCTTAGTCTGCTGAAGAGTCCATCACGGGAACTCAAAATACTCCCTCATATAACCAGAGCCAATGAAAAACTGCCCTCATGAGTAAATGGGAAAGTTTTCTCCCGGAAGTGGAACTCCCAAGCCGAATACCAGCTAAGTAGGGTGAATTTGAGCGCGTAAGCGTCCATTCCTGTTGTGTTGGTCTTCAATCTACTCGATATAAGGGTTCACCCGGTATAAATTGCATAAATAACGTGCGCTATGAAATATGACGCAGTAGTGAGCTACCCGAAGCAATTTCCCCTTTGCTGTCTTGCACGTTCTTTGCCTACTCAGCGTAGTTCCACTAATCATTACTTACGACCATTTCACGACTGAGTTCTGGCAGAATTAGAAACCAATGCATTGATGGGGTATGTCGTTGAAATTTCCGTGCAAAATAGACTTTCACGGGCGCCTGCTGACAACTTGAAACTGCTGAGATCAAATTTGGACGTTGCATAAATCCATGAAGTACCAAAGAAATTACCGCATCCGGATCGAATCCGCCTAGGCCAACTAAGCCTTTCTTCCCTCCAGGGTCGGTTAATTGTTACCAGACTCATACGGGAGGATAAATTCACTGACTTGTACATCGGCTGGCCACCGCAACTCATTGTATAGGCCACATACGCACTCATTACACCACTACGATTCTGAATGGAAGTCGAATGTGAGGCGCATCCCTCAGGTCAATGAGTCTCGCGCTATGAACTCATTGGGGCTCAGCCGCTGTTCCGTTTCCAGTCCCCGTGGACTCACCTTCATGCCTTTTTGAAACCCTAGGCATCTGGCATCGCTTACGGTTGGCTGTCGATATTTTGAAGGACCATTTTTCGAACAGTGCAGTTACTCTGTTCCTTTTTAGAGTGTTGCAGTGAATGCATAGAGAAACTTTAAACCATTTCTCCGATCGCACAGCAAGAATTCCAGTGGGTATCACCCCGCTACGAGGATAACGACTCTTACCTCGTCGACGAGTAAGCAGAATTAGACATGGTCCCAAAAGGAACTCGAAAAGTCATCTCAACTTGGGTAGCTTGCACTTCGAATTCATCGGAGCTCAGCCGCCGTTTCGTTTCCAGAACCCGTGGACTTGCGTTTTTGCCTTTTTCAGAGTCTGGGCATTTGGCACTGCACGCATGTGTTTGGTGCTCCTGTGTGGTCCAAGTCTTTTATGGTGAATTTTTCATGGTCGAAGACACGAACGCGCTTTCGGATGGTCGCATTACGAACCAGCATGTTCCATCGTTGGCGTTCGAAATCATTTGGAAGCCTACAACTGGATGCTCTTACCGGTTTCATTTTGTTCTCAAAACAAGCAAGGATTTCATGGTGGTCCATTTCAGTTGGGTAGTCCTACTTGTTGTTGATGTTTATCAATTGTCATTGCTGGAGAGGATTCCAATGGGAGAAGCATGGAAGTTTATTTTTTTCTCAAAACTGAATAAAGGGCTTTACTGCGGATTTTCATACTTGTCATAGAAAATCTTACAGCCAGGTGGGTATGGTTTAGGCCCTTATTTTCTGGAGATCCAGATAAACTCTTGATTTATTTTTATGCATATTGGAAGTCTAGGTAAAGCTTATATAAAATATGGAAAGTGGTGAAGAGTAATTGAATAGTTGCCCTAACACCGAATAGCGAACAGAGTTCGATGGTCCTTCGGCAGAAGCACTGATTCAGTAGGCTGCAAAAACGCGAACTCAATCTCGTTTGCATTTGCAGTCCCCTATACTTTAGTAGGTTCATCACGTGTATCACGCACATGTGAATGTTGAATTAGGCCGAAGTGGCGATGCAAAAGACTCCACATTCGTCTCATGCTGTGGACGGCGAGAAAAAGATTACAAGCTCAAAGTACCGAATTCGTGAACCGGCTCCAATGGAACGAGAAATTGTGGTTGAGGTGGGCCTAGTACTCGTCTACCTATCTCCATTCCGTGCGTTGTTTCTCATCAATATTACCCATCAACTAGAAAATATCGCAATTCATGCTTAAGGCCTCTTTCACTGTTGACCGTCTTCAACTGATGGAACATCCCGAGCAGTCTTCTCTAAAAGTCCCAAGAGGGGACGCTCGTTCCTACGATGGACTTTTGTTACAACCCAGTTGATGGGAAAGTTGCATTTGGCTGACTGACTGGAGCAGATCCGCAATGACCCCGTGTTGCAAGAGAAGGTGGACAGCATGAGAATTCACTGAATTAACGGCAGCTGCAGACACATCCACACAGAACCACGACGAGGTCCAAAGAAACGTCATTATATACAGGAGTGCCTTCGCTGTGACAACGACACGAGTCACCCACTCCACTGAAATTTGGTTGTCTGCTTCCATAGATAGTTCATTTATCTCACTTGCGGCCAAGGCCTAACACAAACCTTTCGTTGATTGAAACCCTCGGAATTCTTACGAGATCTACAAATCAACAAACATTGGAAGACAAAGGATTTAGCATAGTATGCTTTGCCTTTTATGGATGCCCTGCCCTTTTCAGACCATTACCGAGGCGATTAAACGATTTGATTTTGTCTTTTGCTCAATATGAATCATGACGAGCAGTAGATGTTCGTGTTTTTGAGATCGCGTCCCTCATCATTCTCATGAGTTCGACGTTCTAAAGAGTTTGAAGTCAAAGACGAGTCTTCTGAATAACAGTGGGTCCAATCCCGAAGCAATGCGGACAAGACGAGCGACAGTTTGAATCGCTACGTCATTTCGCCCTGGATTGAGTTTCAGTAGAAAGGTTGTTGCTGTTGGATGCTCCAGAAACCTGCCTTAAAACTGCTACTGCTTCAATTCCCCTACTCCAAGCGCCATCAGGATCTACCGGTCAACCTTTTGTGATAAGATTAAGCATACAAATTTAGAGATCTGCCAGCGAGATTTGGAAACAGATGAAGAACCATTTCAAGGGAAATTATTAATTACTATTATTATAATTTCACTTCATGTATATGTGGGGGTGTGCTAGAGTCATATCTCCTAATGGACCCAATCCCATTCCCTACTGCTTACAAACACCTGCAGCTGAGCGCGAGTTGACTAAATGGTCCCTACAGGAAAGCGCTATGTATTTACCTTCCGCTTAGAAATTGTGTGAATAATCAGGCCTTTGCAATGGGTTTTAAAAGAGGTTCATGAATAATTATGGTAAAATAGAATAATAAAGTTTCCTTCATGCAAACGGGTCTTTGGAAGCCTCTTAGAACTGCAAGGGAACGACGAGGAGGAATGTTTGTTCTTAGGCCAACACCGACACTTTATCTATGACTCCAACTCCAATGCCTACTTGAATTGGACCGCAACGATATA